TTACTGTACACTTTCCAAAATATCTTCTGACAATTGTGCCTAGCAAAGTTTTATGCAACAGTGTGATATTCTACATTTTGGGGGAGCCCCTGTATTCCTCATTTCTATATAATTGTGATATTACATCTGAAGTATGCCAAGTGAGCTATCAGGGAAAAAGTGATAGAAATGCAGCCGTGTTAGTATGGCTGTGACTATTTTCTTCCACTATTTGATCTGAGGAAGTGGGTCTGGCCCACGAAAGCTCATCATCTAATAAACCATCTTGTTAGTCTTTAAAGTGCTACATAGTCCTGTATTTTGTATCAGGGAAAAAGTTATGATTGGCTGAAAAATCTGTTCTATTTACATAGGTATATCTTCAGTGCATATAAAGATATGAGAGTGTGGTGTATGTCTGTCACTAAAATATGCTGTAAATTGGGGAGTCAGCTAGATATAAGTTCCCCAGACACCAGGGCCAGATTAATTTCTCAGGAGTCTGGGGCTATTAGATTTGGTGGGGCTCTCTAGGGTTCAGGAAGAGGCCAAAAATGTGGGGTTCAGAGAGCAAGAGGGGGCTGTGGGTTGAGGCAGGGGAGAGAGTGTGGGAGGGGGCAAAGGCTCTGTCTCAGTGCAGGCTCTGGGTTGGGGCTGGGGATGAGGTATTTGTGATGTAGGAGAGGCTCCGGACATGAGGTGGGAATGGGGGGTCTGGATGGGAATTAGGGTGCTAGAATCAGCCCAGGGCTGGGGATTGGGGTGTGCATTCTAGGACAGGGGTTTTCAAACTTGGATCATGAACCCACCAGGGAAAGCCCTTGGTGGGCCTGTGATGCTTTGTTTACTCTAAAGCTCCGTATCCACAGAGCCTCACAGCTTTGGTTGTGGTCATAGGCATGCACAGCACATTTCATTAGGGTGTGCATCCAAAGAATATTTTAAAAATGTACTTTGACCCCCATTAGCCACACCCCGACCCCTGTTAACCACTCCCCTGATCCCCATTAGCCACGCCTCTGGAGGTAACCCTCTCCGGGCAAGATGGGCACATGACCAAAAGTAAAAAGTGTTATGTGACCTCCCACCCCAAGGACTTTTCCCACCATCCTCCTACCAATAGGGATTAGTTTGGCCCCCCCAATCCTCCCCCATGCAACTATCCTGCAATTGCATTAATCCAATGTGTGTGACATTAATGCAGGGGTGGAGAGGCTGGGGGGGGGGGGAGATCCTGCAATTGCATTAACCCAATGTGTGTGACATGAATGTGGGGGTGGAGAGGCTGGGGGGAGGGGGGAAAGTGTTCCCTCTAAGAGTTTCCTCCCATGAGCAGAATGAATTTTGTTTTGTGCACCAGTACTGAGTTCATGTGGCTTGTTTGGATGTGCCACTGTGGCACCCAAGTTATTAATAAATATCTACCTTTCCACTCTGCTGCTATGTCTCCTCCCCTTGCTCCATCAACTCTCCTGGTACCTGCTGCCCCCCAACCCATCAGCCTCCTCTGCTGTCCTGACTCCTACCCTTCTCACTGCCCTCAGCCTTCCTGAGACCTGCCCCCCTCCGCCAGCCCTTCTCTCCCCCCTGTGCCCACTCCTCCAGTAGCCCTGCTCTGATTATGTGAGCTACCCCTCCTCATCCCCTCATCTAACACCTCCCTCGCCTCTCTCCTCTGCTCCCTCCCCTGCAGGTGTCTGCCCTTCTGCTTCACCCCAGAATTCCCTTACCCCTGCACCCTCCTGGTGACTCCCCCTTCCCTCACTGCCCCTGTCCCCTTTGCCCTTTTTCCCCTGATGCCCATCCCCTCACCACCCTCTGCCCCCATTCCCCTCATGCCCCTGTGCCCTCACACGACTTGCTCCAACCCCACCTTCCTCATGCCTACCCCTTCAATCAAGCCTCTCCCAGCACCTCCCCCTCCAATCCTCAATGCCCTTACCCTCTCCTCTTCCAGCATCACCCTGTCCCCCCTCCCACTGATACCTCCCCTCCTGCCCTTTTCCTCATTGTCTCCACTTCCCCCCTAGCATTTGTGTCTCCTCTACCCTGTCTCTTTGGTGCCTTTCCCCTTTCTTCCCCCTCCGTACAATCCCCTGCCACCTCTTCCCCTTTCTTCCTCCTCCACCCGCCCCCATTGCAAAAGCCCCTTCCTCTTATTCCCCCACCCCTTATCTTCAGCTTCTGCCTTACAACTTCCAGGGCTGGAGTCAGAGCCAGCCCAAGCTGCAGGGCGGGGGAGGGGCACCCCCAGGGCGCCGTGCGATGCTGCCGGGCCAGGCGGGGGCACCCCCAGGGTGCCGCGCGGTGCTGTAGGGTGGGGTCCAGGCCGCAAAAATGGCTCAGGCCGCCATTTGTAGTCGGGCCCCAGCTGCTTTTGGAGCTGGGCTGCTGGATTTTAAAGTTCCCAGCGTTTCTCCTCTCACCTGTTCCACAGCATTTGAGGACGCCCCACATGCGCTCTCTCTGCCCCACAGTGCCCAGTATATGGCTGCGGGGAATTTAAAGTGAGGGGCTGTGGCACTCTGTCACAAATCCCTCTCTTCCTCCAGCAGCTGCTGGCTGGCCCCAGACATTAGGATGTGCCTGGGCACACCCGGCACACCCCGTGCACACGCCTATGGTTGTGGTTGCTGTTTCCAGCCAAGGGGAGCTGTGGGAAGCAGCGCAGACCAGGATGCAGAATTTGGAAGAGTGCTAGACAATGAACGAGGACAGGTCACTGATTCAGAATGATCTAGATCACTTGGTAAACTGGGCATAAGCAAACAGTGTGCATTTAAATATTGCTACTTGTGAAAGTATGCTTCTAGGAACAACGAAAGTAAGCCATGCTTTCATAATCATACATCTGGAAGGGACAATGAGAAGCCATCTAGTCCAGCGCCCTGCACTCATGGCAGGACTAAGTATTATCTAGACCAGGGGTGGGCAATAACATGGTGGCAATTCGCCAGGGTTATCCCCTAGTGGGCCTCTGCCACTGTGTTTACCTACATGACTGCAGGTATTGGCACTGTTCTCAGCCAATCAAAGTATCAGAAAGTCGTGCAAACCGGGACATTGTTTCAGCAGTGGGGACCCATCAGGAGCTAACCCTGGAAAACCAGATCTGACTCGCAGGCTGATATTTGTCTCCCACTGATTGAGACCATCACTGACAAGTGTTTGTCTAACCTGCCCGTTAAAATCTCCAGTGATGGAGATTCCACAGCATCCCTAGGCAAACCTCCCTTGCTACAATTTAAGCCCATTGCTTCTTGTCCTATCCTCAAAGTCTATAGAAATGGGAAATTCTGTCCTGGAAATCAGTGACTGAAAAAGATTTGTTAGCTGAACATGAATTCCCAGTGCAACACAGTGTCCAAAAGGGCTAATGCATTCCAGTGATGCATAATCAAGAAAATCTTGAGTAGAAGAGCAGGGGTAATTTATGCATGTATTTGGCAGTTGTGTGACCACTGCTGGATTACTGTGTCTGGTTCTGATGCCCACAATTCAAGAATGGGGAGATAAATTGGAGAGGGTTCACAGAATAGCCACGAGAAGGATTGAGGCAGAGGTTAGGAACCTAACACCCAGGGGCTGGATGCCCCCAGCTTGCCTGGATCTGGCCCTCAAGGCTCAGCCCCCCCTACCCCCCGAAATTGGAGAGCCCATGCAGACACTCCAACACTCCTGGCCCCCCAGGGATGGAGGGTTGGGCTCTCCTAGGCTCTGGTGTGCAAAGAGAATAGGGAAGTGTCTTTCTCCTTCTCAGCTGGGGTCCACTTCAGTGAGGGGATTTTTTGTTTGTTTGTTTGTTTGTTTTGGTTCTCATTTGTGTGCAGCCCTCGACTGATTTTTTTATGGGTCAGCGGCCCCTGATCCCACTCCTGGATTAAGGGATTGGAAAACACACTTTATAGTGAAAGATTGAAAAAGATCAATCTATGTGTCTTAACAAAGAGATGGTTAAAGGGCGACTTGATTAGAATCTAAAGGACCTAAATGGGGAACAAATTTAAAAATGGGCTCTACAATCTAATAGAGAAAGGTTATAACATGATTCAACAGCTGGAGGCTGTAGCTAAATATATCCATCTTGGAAATAAGGGGTAAAATTTTAACCATGAGACTAATTCACCATTGGAATGGCTGATCAAGGGTCATGGTGGATTCTCCATCACTTCCAGTTTTTAAATCAATATGGTTTTTTTCCCTGAAAGATATGCTCTTAGAGATTATTTCAATGGCCCCTTCTAAGCCTTGGGAGCTACAAATCTTATGATATTACATGTTTGCTGGGAAAATTGTAGCTTCCAAGAGTTAATCCTGTTCTCAGGAATAGAAGCTGGAGATCACAGGTGAGGAAATTCCAGCCAACGCTCATGGGTGGTGATGGTATTGAGCCCACCTTGAAATACCTGAGGACTAACACTTGGCAATCATGTCTGGAAGTCTCCCTGCAGCATTTAAAGACGGTCCCTTATTCTTCCCTGGGAAATAATGATGGAAATTGTGCCCAATGTCCCCTCCCACGCTGCAGGAAGGATTTATTTGCTGGCTGCGGTCAGCACTTTCTGCACTATGATCCCCTGATCTGGACTTGCCTTTTGGAGGTGGAAGAGCCCATTTAACAAATCCTCGTGGGGGAGAGCTATGGGGCTCTGCAAGAGGGCTCCCAACAGTATTCTTTCCAGAGTGTTGCCCAGTCTAGTAGCCCCGGTCTTGCCCATCTCTCAGGGCTTGAAAAGCTGCTGCAACCTGCCCCTGAGGCAGAACACAGCAGGCATTTGTGATTCTCACATGGAGACTTGGCATCGTTCCCAGGCACGAGGCCGAAGGTCAGAGGTTCATTCAGAGAAGCTCAGCCCAATTTAACTGTTGTTTTCCCAGTCTTAATCTGACAAAGCATGTGAGGAGCCGTAAAACAGGGCGGGGGAAAGGAGTGTGATGTAACTCCAGACCAGGCAAAGTCAGAGATTGCCTTCAGCAATGGTGGTGCCTGTAGCTCACAGTCATTTGGGGTAAACACCACAGACAGGCCCTGGCTCTTGTCTTGAAACCAATGTGTGGAGCATCTCCGTGGGAACCCAGCGGCTCAGATCCCTTCCTCAGGTGAGGAAGAAAAACGTGGCACGGTGCCTGCATCACAGCACAGACGCTGGCAGCTTTGCTCTGCTGTCTCTGGGGTGTATCAGGAAGGACTGGGAAGGTTTCCGCACCCTAGCAGCATTCTTGGAAAAAGAGAGAAGTTACGGTGTCTCCTCTGGAAAGGTAAGTATGCTCTGTACCATGGGGGTTCTCCTCCGCTTGGGGTTCAGCTCTCTGTTTGGGAGAAAAAGAGAGGGAATGTAACAGACTGGTCTGTGTGTAAAGTATGTGTGTGTGTATAACACCCAAAGGGATCCTCCTTGGTTTGACTCAGAACAAGCTGTTAATCTCTTGATAGATCTCTGCTGGAGATTTCTTTCCTGGTGATGCGAGTGTGCATGTTTTTTGTGTGGTCACAGTGTGTATAGAAGTGGCCATGACAGAGAATAGCGGTGGGGGATGGGGAAGTGTGTGAGACTGACCGAGTGAAAGTGGATTGCTTCATGTGTGGGAGAAAGCAAGAGCCTTGTGCATGTTGTTGCGCGTGATTGCTGTGTACATTTTAGAATGTAGTTGGGTGCCTGACAGATTGCATTTCGGTTCCCAGGTGTTAGGTGTGGTATAACACCTAAATAGAGAGAGCCTAATTATGCTGTGTTTCACCAATGCAGATCTGTAATGATACCACTGACTGGAAAAGTAAATCCTCCAGATTTACAATGATGTAAATGAGAACCGTATTTGGCCCATAGTGTCAGGCCTGGTCTGTTCTGCTTTTGTACTAGTACAGCAGTGTCAGTTAGGGGTGTCCTTCCTCACCCCCACCCGAAATAGTTGCACTGGTATAGCCCCTAGCATAGACAAAATTATACCAGTATAAAGTAAGATAGAAGTGCAATCCATATCAGGGGGTGGTCCAGCTGTGTAACCCATCACCTCAGGTAAATAGCAGTTCTGTGAAGGCTGGCTCTCACGTCTGGCCCCAGTCAGCTGCGGATAAGCTAAGGAGAAGCTAATCTCTCCACCCTCACCACACCACTGGCTGGCTAATGAGTTGGCAGAAAATCCTGCGCCTCCTTGCTTCTGCCTGTCCTCCTGGAGGAGGGACGTGCCATTGGGAAGAGGTTGCCCAGGCTAGTGGAGAAGACACAGGCTGCTCCTGCTCCTGTAGTGACGTAGTAAGGTAGAGGCCTGGAGACCAGCCCAGAGAGCAGACTGAAAGAGTGACGGCTCTGATCTGCTTGCAGCACACTTGAAATCCAGCCAGAAGAAAAACCCTAATCAGTGACTTAGTTGCTGATAATTGGAGCAGGCACTGGGATTGTATTTGTTGGTAAAGGGGACAGATTGTTACTGATAACAGATCTGGGAGTGATTTCTGGGTCAACTGCTGCCTCCCCAAAGGCTGTAGAAGAAGTCTCCCTCAGAAAGCAAGTGTTGGGAATCTGGAACTAGTAGCCAGGGAAGCCCATAACACATACCACAATACATACACCAGTACAGTTAATACAATTGAGCAGAGAAGGCATCAAGAAGCCAAATTTCCCCTGGTCCAACTGGAGTTGCATCAGGGGATACATCTGTGCTAGTGAGTCTGTGATGGGTGTGTATGTGTGAACATCTGTGTGTGTGTGTCCCCTGTGAAGTCCATGCTGTCAGGAACTGGAAGACTCTACACACTTGATGCTCCTGAAGAAGTATAGATGGGGTGGGGTGATCACAGACAAGGTTCAATTTCATTTTGCTTTCCATTCAGGGATCCAATATGGCTTCAACTTGGCAGAAAACTCAAGATTTCTACAATTGGGCCCTTGAAAATGGAGGTAGGTGAAGTTGTGCGGGAATTTCCCAAGGATGCCATTAGATGGCAATATAGGAAGTACAAACCATTCATAAGAATCATCTCCCACTTGATCTTACTTCCTTTGACACACAGCAAAATCTCACTGTTTGCCTACCAAGATCTTACATTTATTTAGAGTCCTGAGCTATGGCCCAAGGAAACTCCAGTTTGTGGGGTGGGAAAAGGGATTATAATGCTTTAGTTCTTGTGAAGGAAAATTCTTTAACCTTTACCCACATATGCAGTATAATGTTGTGCCCCACAAGCATATATATTGTGATAAGTCACGAAGTAGTGGCTCTCCAATAATACCGTTTTAGGACATTTTCACTTAGGTACATGTACACAATTCAGTCAAAATTGTAATTTTGCATAGAAAGTTTTCTGCATCAAAATGTGTATAGGGTGCAAATATATCCCAAATATTTTAGCAGTTTTATGTAGATTTATCTTGTAATATTGGTAACTGTCTCCCACACTAAACAAGCTGTTTCTTCTTTTTCCTTTTTTTAAACATAAAATAACTTGCACAGTGTTAATTGAGGATATATGTGTTGACACCTCATGAACTAGTGGCTATTCAGCTGTGCTGTTTTAGGATGTTGTATATGCTAACTGATCATCTGTTGCAGCAACTATAGGTGCTGCATATCATCATCCCGAGGTAGAAGGTATTACAGGGATGTGTGAAAATTGCATTTAGGCTCACACTGAATGAGCCTCCTTTTTTTCAATGTGCTCATTAAATAAAGTCTTGTCAGCTAGGGTGTGGAGATTGTCTGGGACACAAGAGAAATGTGGCGGACCCAGAGATGGAGGGGATACCTTAAATCCAGGACAGGAGAAGTTTATTTAGATGGAAAGCTTGTTTCCCTTTCAAGGCCCACAATCCACCGTGTTCTTTGCTTTTGCACAATATGTTTTGCTTTGCAGACCCGAGGACAGACCCCTGGCTCCTGGTTTATTCCCCATTTCCAGTCACACTTCTTTTCACCCTCTACCTCTTCTTTGTGGCACTGGGACCACGCCTGATGCAGAAGTGGGAGCCATTGAGACTCAAGGGTCTTCTGGTTGCCTATAATTTGGCTCTGGTGGCTTTGTCAGCCTATATGTTCTATGAGGTAAGGAGAATGGGTCGACTCCACCTGCGTAAACATTTGGAAGAGGATTTGAAGTAGGAACCCATTAAACTTCTTTTCTGATGAACCACCGCAGGCTAAAAGAGGAGGTGACAAGGACTGGGACATGTTTTTGATCTTGCACTAGAGGGCACATTCTACCCTGTTAAGCATGGTGGTGAAATCTCTATGGCAGCAGTTCTCAGAGTCGGAGGCCTGCACCCCTGCAGGGATATGAGAAATGAGAGGGAGTGAAAAGATGAGGGCCTGGCATGACAGGAGTCAAACAAAGCCCTCTGGCCTAGCTAGTCCCGCCCCACTTTACCTGTAGCCAATGCCAGGCCTGGAGGGAGCACAAAAGGAAGAAGCCTGGCTCAGTTAGGGGCTGTCTAGCAAGGAGACAGGAGTGTGGTTCTGCAGACTTCAGGACCTGAGCTGGAGCCCGTCTACTTGGCCAGCCACAGGAGCAAGTAAGCCTCCAACCCCACCCCCTGGGGCAAAAGGAGGGGAACTACTCAAAACCTTCACTGAGGAGGGGGAAGTTTGGACTGTTGGGGATAAGCCTCAAACTTAAGGACTGTATGCAGAGAGTAGGCCAGAATTCCTAGGCCCGGGGCATCAGTGGCAGGGGCCTGCACCCCTTTTCTGCCAGCTAAATCTGGGACCTAACCACTAGACCACCCCGCTGGCAGGGAGACCCCTGCCACAAGAAGCTTTAGGGGAAAATAAATAGAGTTGGGCAACTGGAGTAGCAGCTGCTGGGTAGACACCCAGCTCTGAAGGCAGCACTGCCATCAGCAGCAGCAGCACAGAATCAAGGTGATGTGGACTGGTGGTGGCACTGCCTTCAGAGCTAAGCTTCCAGCCAGCAGCCACCACTCTCTGCTTTGCATTCAGGGCTGGGTGGCTGAAGTGTGGAGCTGCCCAAGGGGGAGGGTACATAAACGGCTACAGACACAAAGAAGGAGGATGCAATCAAATTAGGTTGAAAACCACAGCTCTGTGGGTTTGCCTACACTCTAGTTAGATATCCCCTGGCTGGTCCATGCCTGCTAACTCAGGCTTAAGGGGCTGTTTCATCGCAATGTAGACATTCAGGCTCTCGGACCCTTCCACTTCATGCGATCCTAGAGCTCAGGCTGCAGTCAGAGCATGAAGGTCTACACTGCAGTTCAACAGCCCCTTAGCCTGAACCCTATCCCCCCAAGTCAGCTGGCACAGGCCAGGCGCAGGTTCTTAAATGCAGGGCAGACATACCCTGTATGTCAGACACAATTTTCCCCTTGTTGCAGCTTTCCCTAATGCACTGCCCCTTAGATTGAATAGACTTACTGCTGGTGAAAGGTCTCTGGGGTTGATGACAAAACCGAAGAACAAAAGCTACTATGTAGCAGTCCCAGAGCTCATGATGTACATTTGTCCCCTACAGTGTGCCGCAGCCATTACAAGGGCCATCTCTGGGAGTGTGAGAGGTTTTTTTTTCATGTGATTGTTTGCGGATGCCTCCAACAAGAGTGCAAATCACTGACATTGGCAGTGAAAGACATGTTTATTTGTATTGTTTTTAATAGTGTGAGAACCTTTCTGGTAGGAACTGAATTGAGATCTATCACCTCTTTTCATATAGGACACTGAATACCTAGCAAATGAATAGAGCTGAGTACATTTGAAATGAATGATCTAATTAAAGAGCTTGACTTTTACTTCCTGTGTTCAAAAGGATTATGAAGTTCCCACACTTGTTCCAAAAGAATTGCAAAGTTCTCTAGCAAACAGATTGCTCAGAAGTGAATATTCACTTCTCTTCTTTGGTCGGTCAGTTATAGGGGCCACATGGTTTGGTTTTAGGTCCCCAGTTGGCCGACTAATGCAACTTACCAACACAAACTGCACAGTGAAGTTTACAGTCTAATACACAATTCAAATCTTGCTTGCAGAGAATTCTCAACCTTATAATTCACTTTTCATTCTAGCACTCAAATATTTGCACCAAAGGGTCACAAATGCTGCTATATAGAAATTTACTTTCAGAGTCCAACAGATTAAAAAAAGCACACCCTGCAAATATTTGCACATCCGTAGTGATGAATTTGAGTCACTCTCTGCTTGTGTTGGATTGGAACTACTTACCTAGCATTAGAGGGTATATCTCCTTGGGACCAAGGGAATATGAAAGATAGGATAGATGCAGAACAGAGAATGGATTTATCTTAGTAGGTTTTTTTCTTTTCTTTCAGTTTCTGGTAACTTCGGTCCTGGCCAACTACAGCTACCTGTGTCAGCCAGTGGATTATACCCAAAGCGAGTTGGGAATGCGGGTACAGTTTCATACAGAACTCATCTTGGGTTCCTCTGATTCTTCAGAGATGGATGGGTTGCTTTGCTAGAAGCCTGGAGCCAAACTGCAGGCTGAAATTGTGCCTTTTAAAAACAGAGATCCATAAGCCCACTAGGAGCTTCCCTGTGCCTATAGATTTTATGGAGAAGACATCAGATGCCATTATGAAGGGCACCAGTATAAGACCCTCAGAGGAAATGTACAGCAAACATATATTGGCATAGCTACATCTTTCAGGGGCTGAGAGAAATCCACATCCCTGAGAGAAGTAGCCATGCCAACCTAGCACCTCTATGTAGACAGTGCTTAGAAGAATTCCTCCAACAACCCAGCTCTATCTGTCGGGGAAGCAAATTAAGTACAGTGGTGAGAAAATCCTACCCTCCCTGTAATGACTATTTACACTAAGGCACTATAGTGGCACCTCTGCAAACCTGTAGCTCTGCTGCTGTAGCATTTTAAATGTAGATGTTCCCTAAACTAGGTGTTAAACAAGAATTTTTGTCAGTATCAGATTGCATTTCCTTGTACTTCCCAGCAGATGGCGAGAGTGTGTTGGTGGTTCTTCTTCTCCAAAGTCATCGAGCTGCTTGATACGGTAAGGTGGACATGGCCAATTTAAGGGGAATGCGGGTCTGTAATAAGCCACTGGCTTTGAACCCCCCAATGGGACAAAGACATAATGCCAAAGCCAGTGCTCTGTATTTATTCTCTAGGTGGCTGATGCCTTTTAGCGCATGCTTACACACACCCAGACACACACACACACACACACACACACACACACAGAGTGACGGCTCTGATCTGCTTGCAGCACACTTGAAATCCAGCCAGAAGAAAAACCCTAATCAGTGACTTAGTTGCTGATAATTGGAGCAGGCACTGGGATTGTATTTGTTGGTAAAGGGGACAGATTGTTACTGATAACAGATCTGGGAGTGATTTCTGGGTCAACTGCTGCCTCCCCAAAGGCTGTAGAAGAAGTCTCCCTCAGAAAGCAAGTGTTGGGAATCTGGAACTAGTAGCCAGGGAAGCCCATAACACATACCACAATACATACACCAGTACAGTTAATACAATTGAGCAGAGAAGGCATCAAGAAGCCAAATTTCCCCTGGTCCAACTGGAGTTGCATCAGGGGATACATCTGTGCTAGTGAGTCTGTGATGGGTGTGTATGTGTGAACATCTGTGTGTGTGTGTCCCCTGTGAAGTCCATGCTGTCAGGAACTGGAAGACTCTACACACTTGATGCTCCTGAAGAAGTATAGATGGGGTGGGGTGATCACAGACAAGGTTCAATTTCATTTTGCTTTCCATTCAGGGATCCAATATGGCTTCAACTTGGCAGAAAACTCAAGATTTCTACAATTGGGCCCTTGAAAATGGAGGTAGGTGAAGTTGTGCGGGAATTTCCCAAGGATGCCATTAGATGGCAATATAGGAAGTACAAACCATTCATAAGAATCATCTCCCACTTGATCTTACTTCCTTTGACACACAGCAAAATCTCACTGTTTGCCTACCAAGATCTTACATTTATTTAGAGTCCTGAGCTATGGCCCAAGGAAACTCCAGTTTGTGGGGTGGGAAAAGGGATTATAATGCTTTAGTTCTTGTGAAGGAAAATTCTTTAACCTTTACCCACATATGCAGTATAATGTTGTGCCCCACAAGCATATATATTGTGATAAGTCACGAAGTAGTGGCTCTCCAATAATACCGTTTTAGGACATTTTCACTTAGGTACATGTACACAATTCAGTCAAAATTGTAATTTTGCATAGAAAGTTTTCTGCATCAAAATGTGTATAGGGTGCAAATATATCCCAAATATTTTAGCAGTTTTATGTAGATTTATCTTGTAATATTGGTAACTGTCTCCCACACTAAACAAGCTGTTTCTTCTTTTTCCTTTTTTTAAACATAAAATAACTTGCACAGTGTTAATTGAGGATATATGTGTTGACACCTCATGAACTAGTGGCTATTCAGCTGTGCTGTTTTAGGATGTTGTATATGCTAACTGATCATCTGTTGCAGCAACTATAGGTGCTGCATATCATCATCCCGAGGTAGAAGGTATTACAGGGATGTGTGAAAATTGCATTTAGGCTCACACTGAATGAGCCTCCTTTTTTTCAATGTGCTCATTAAATAAAGTCTTGTCAGCTAGGGTGTGGAGATTGTCTGGGACACAAGAGAAATGTGGCGGACCCAGAGATGGAGGGGATACCTTAAATCCAGGACAGGAGAAGTTTATTTAGATGGAAAGCTTGTTTCCCTTTCAAGGCCCACAATCCACCGTGTTCTTTGCTTTTGCACAATATGTTTTGCTTTGCAGACCCGAGGACAGACCCCTGGCTCCTGGTTTATTCCCCATTTCCAGTCACACTTCTTTTCACCCTCTACCTCTTCTTTGTGGCACTGGGACCACGCCTGATGCAGAAGTGGGAGCCATTGAGACTCAAGGGTCTTCTGGTTGCCTATAATTTGGCTCTGGTGGCTTTGTCAGCCTATATGTTCTATGAGGTAAGGAGAATGGGTCGACTCCACCTGCGTAAACATTTGGAAGAGGATTTGAAGTAGGAACCCATTAAACTTCTTTTCTGATGAACCACCGGAGGCTAAAAGAGGAGGTGACAAGGACTGGGACATGTTTTTGATCTTGCACTAGAGGGCACATTCTACCCTGTTAAGCATGGTGGTGAAATCTCTATGGCAGCAGTTCTCAGAGTCGGAGGCCTGCACCCCTGCAGGGATATGAGAAATGAGAGGGAGTGAAAAGATGAGGGCCTGGCATGACAGGAGTCAAACAAAGCCCTCTGGCCTAGCTAGTCCCGCCCCACTTTACCTGTAGCCAATGCCAGGCCTGGAGGGAGCACAAAAGGAAGAAGCCTGGCTCAGTTAGGCGCTGTCTAGCAAGGAGACAGGAGTGTGGTTCTGCAGACTTCAGGACCTGAGCTGGAGCCCGTCTACTTGGCCAGCCACAGGAGCAAGTAAGCCTCCAACCCCACCCCCTGGGGCAAAAGGAGGGGAACTACTCAAAACCTTCACTGAGGAGGGGGAAGTTTGGACTGTTGGGGATAAGCCTCAAACTTAAGGACTGTATGCAGAGAGTAGGCCAGAATTCCTAGGCCCGGGGCATCAGTGGCAGGGGCCTGCACCCCTTTTCTGCCAGCTAAATCTGGGACCTAACCACTAGACCACCCCGCTGGCAGGGAGACCCCTGCCACAAGAAGCTTTAGGGGAAAATAAATAGAGTTGGGCAACTGGAGTAGCAGCTGCTGGGTAGACACCCAGCTCTGAAGGCAGCACTGCCATCAGCAGCAGCAGCACAGAATCAAGGTGATGTGGACTGGTGGTGGCACTGCCTTCAGAGCTAAGCTTCCAGCCAGCAGCCACCACTCTCTGCTTTGCATTCAGGGCTGGGTGGCTGAAGTGTGGAGCTGCCCAAGGGGGAGGGTACATAAACGGCTACAGACACAAAGAAGGAGGATGCAATCAAATTAGGTTGAAAACCACAGCTCTGTGGGTTTGCCTACACTCTAGTTAGATATCCCCTGGCTGGTCCATGCCTGCTAACTCAGGCTTAAGGGGCTGTTTCATCGCAATGTAGACATTCAGGCTCTCGGACCCTTCCACTTCATGCGATCCTAGAGCTCAGGCTGCAGTCAGAGCATGAAGGTCTACACTGCAGTTCAACAGCCCCTTAGCCTGAACCCTATCCCCCCAAGTCAGCTGGCACAGGCCAGGCGCAGGTTCTTAAATGCAGGGCAGACATACCCTGTATGTCAGACACAATTTTCCCCTTGTTGCAGCTTTCCCTAATGCACTGCCCCTTAGATTGAATAGACTTACTGCTGGTGAAAGGTCTCTGGGGTTGATGACAAAACCGAAGAACAAAAGCTACTATGTAGCAGTCCCAGAGCTCATGATGTACATTTGTCCCCTACAGTGTGCCGCAGCCATTACAAGGGCCATCTCTGGGAGTGTGAGAGGTTTTTTTTTCATGTGATTGTTTGCGGATGCCTCCAACAAGAGTGCAAATCACTGACATTGGCAGTGAAAGACATGTTTATTTGTATTGTTTTTAATAGTGTGAGAACCTTTCTGGTAGGAACTGAATTGAGATCTATCACCTCTTTTCATATAGGACACTGAATACCTAGCAAATGAATAGAGCTGAGTACATTTGAAATGAATGATCTAATTAAAGAGCTTGACTTTTACTTCCTGTGTTCAAAAGGATTATGAAGTTCCCACACTTGTTCCAAAAGAATTGCAAAGTTCTCTAGCAAACAGATTGCTCAGAAGTGAATATTCACTTCTCTTCTTTGGTCGGTCAGTTATAGGGGCCACATGGTTTGGTTTTAGGTCCCCAGTTGGCCGACTAATGCAACTTACCAACACAAACTGCACAGTGAAGTTTACAGTCTAATACACAATTCAAATCTTGCTTGCAGAGAATTCTCAACCTTATAATTCACTTTTCATTCTAGCACTCAAATATTTGCACCAAAGGGTCACAAATGCTGCTATATAGAAATTTACTTTCAGAGTCCAACAGATTAAAAAAAGCACACCCTGCAAATATTTGCACATCCGTAGTGATGAATTTGAGTCACTCTCTGCTTGTGTTGGATTGGAACTACTTACCTAGCATTAGAGGGTATATCTCCTTGGGACCAAGGGAATATGAAAGATAGGATAGATGCAGAACAGAGAATGGATTTATCTTAGTAGGTTTTTTTCTTTTCTTTCAGTTTCTGGTAACTTCGGTCCTGGCCAACTACAGCTACCTGTGTCAGCCAGTGGATTATACCCAAAGCGAGTTGGGAATGCGGGTACAGTTTCATACAGAACTCATCTTGGGTTCCTCTGATTCTTCAGAGATGGATGGGTTGCTTTGCTAGAAGCCTGGAGCCAAACTGCAGGCTGAAATTGTGCCTTTTAAAAACAGAGATCCATAAGCCCACTAGGAGCTTCCCTGTGCCTATAGATTTTATGGAGAAGACATCAGATGCCATTATGAAGGGCACCAGTATAAGACCCTCAGAGGAAATGTACAGCAAACATATATTGGCATAGCTACATCTTTCAGGGGCTGAGAGAAATCCACATCCCTGAGAGAAGTAGCCATGCCAACCTAGCACCTCTATGTAGACAGTGCTTAGAAGAATTCCTCCAACAACCCAGCTCTATCTGTCGGGGAAGCAAATTAAGTACAGTGGTGAGAAAATCCTACCCTCCCTGTAATGACTATTTACACTAAGGCACTATAGTGGCACCTCTGCAAACCTGTAGCTCTGCTGCTGTAGCATTTTAAATGTAGATGTTCCCTAAACTAGGTGTTAAACAAGAATTTTTGTCAGTATCAGATTGCATTTCCTTGTACTTCCCAGCAGATGGCGAGAGTGTGTTGGTGGTTCTTCTTCTCCAAAGTCATCGAGCTGCTTGATACGGTAAGGTGGACATGGCCAATTTAAGGGGAATGCGGGTCTGTAATAAGCCACTGGCTTTGAACCCCCCAATGGGACAAAGACATAATGCCAAAGCCAGTGCTCTGTATTTATTCTCTAGGTGGCTGATGCCTTTTAGCGCATGCTTACACACACCCAGACACACACACACACACACACACACACACACACCCCCCTTGTGAGAGAACTGCACATTCCTCAATTTTGGCTGCGCCTTCTCTGTCCCAGTGATTGCATATCTGGCATCATAGTCTTGGTGTCCAGTTCCCAAATGCAAGTGAAGTAATTTCACCAATTGATTAAGTCTATTGTAGTGTCTTCCCTTTTGACAGTAGACCCAGGCCAGTCATTCTCCCTCTGGCCAAAGCATGATGTTATGTTGAAGACTAGGGCTATGTAGGTGTATGTCCCAGAGTCTCCACTATCGATTCTGCATTGGCCATATGAGATTATTTCAAGTCACTGGTCCTAGCCTAAGGGTTTGTGTCATGGCTGACTTTTGACTTACCTTGGATTTCCATCGTAGAGGATTACTGCTCCACAGTGGTATACTGGACCTTCACTTGCACCTGAATGGCAGCTGGACCCTATGGGTATGTCTACACTGCACGTTTCTTTCAAAAAAAGCTATTCTGGAAGAGATCTTCCAGAAAAGCTTATTTTGAAATAGAGCATCCACATTACAGGCAAGCTTCCAAATTAGTCCAAGGCAGGCTCCCCTAATGTGGGCGTGCTATCTTGATTTAGAGCACCGGGAGGTACTGGGGAGGAATATGGCCCTGTTGAAGAGCTATTTTCACATAACAGCAGTGCAGCATGCATACGCACCCTCTTCCGAAAGAGCTTTTTCAGAAGAGGCATTATTCCTTGTGGAATGAGGTTTACCAACACTGGAAAAAGCCTTCCATTATTTTGATTTTCTTTTGAAATAACACAACTGCTGTGTGGATACTAGCATTGTTTTTCTGGCATAACGGCCGTTATTCTGGAATAATGGTGCAGTGTAGACACACCCTATAGGGGGAACGGATCAGCAAAGGCAGGATGTTTGCTGCATTGCCTACAACCTTTAGAACTGATCCTGGCTGGGGAATAGTTTGACACTCTCTATCCCCAAATTTTATGAGTGTAGGAACTGCCTATGAACTGGATCAATTTGGAGGAATGAAAATTACAAGGCTAATAGGCTCATCTACCCCTCTGCATTCTGGAGGGCAGATACAGGCTGTTCCCCCCAGTCACCACTGCCCAGAAAGCCATTCTTCCTGGTAGAGACAAAGTGGTGTATGACGGGTTGATAGCACCGTCTTTCTGAATGGGAACACCATCAGAGCTTGGCTGCTCAATGTGATGCCTCCCCTGGAGATCTGTCTCCAGTGCATGTAACCTGTGCTTCTGCATTGTGGACTGGAAACAAAACCCCAGATCCAGGCACTTCCAAGCTATTTGGAGCTCAAGCCTGGATCCAGATGTGTCTCATGGTAACCACTGAGAGAATCTGCAGTGGGATCCCAAGGTCTAGATGGCTGAGGCTTTGTGGAAAAGGCGCTGTCCTTTGGCCGCTCCCCTTACAAATAGCATCAGCTCTGTGTGTGCGTTAGATTTGCCAGTCCTCAACTTGGCTTCTAAAACAGGGATGGACAATAATTTTTAATTGGGGGCCATTTCAAGATTTTCACAAGTGGTCAAGAGCAGCACTTCTGTGGAGCAGGTGTGAGGTCTGGGTCAGAGATTGGGTGCAGAAGGGATCTTGGGGTAGGGGACTAGGGTGCAGGAGAGGACATGGAATCTGAGGGAGTTTGGGTGAATAAAGGAGGTGTGATCTGGGGCAGGGATTTGGGGGGCAGGATCCAAGAGGAGATAAGGGTGCAGGAGAGAATTCAAGCCTGGGGAAGGTGCTCTAGCCGGGGGGTACAGTTGTGACCAGGAAGAAGAGGGTGCAGAGGATTTGTGTGGTGTCCAGGGGCAGGGGAATGGGATGCAGGATTAGGGAGGGGGTATGGGTACCAGAGATGATTCTGGCCTGGGGGAGAGATGTAGGAGGGCGGTGCAGGGTCTGGGGAAAGAGCTGTGACCTGGAAGAAGGGGGAAAGAGGTAAAGAGGTTTTGGGTGGTGTCCTGGGTCAGGTAGTTGGGTGATCAAGGGGGTGGGAGCCAGAGACAGGCTCTGGCTGGAAGGTACTTACCTAGGTGGCTCCCAGACTGTAGCCTTGCAGGAAACTGAGGCAGGCTCCCTGCTGAAGTCTCAATCTGCTGGCTGTTCCACACACAAGGGTTGGGGGAGGGCTACACACACTGTTCCTGGCCTCAGCAAAAATTCTCAGCTCCTATCAGCCAGAAACTTGCCAAAGGGAGCTGAGGGGTTTTGCTGAGGGCCGGGAGTATCGTGCAAAGTCTCCCTCCTCCCTCCCCTGTAATCCAGAGTGGAGAGCAGCCAGCTGTTTAATGAGTGAGTTGTTCGCTGCATAAGAGTTCCAGCGAGGCAGCCTCTGGCCTACCCCTGTTCTAAAGAGAAGGGTGGTATCAATTTTGGCTGCGCCTTCTCTGTCCCAGTGATTGCATATCTGGCATCATAGTCTTGGTGTCCAGTTCCCAAATGCAAGTGAAGTAATTTCACCAATTGATTAAGTCTATTGTAGTGTCTTCCCTTTTGACAGTAGACCCAGGCCAGTCATTCTCCCTCTGGCCAAAGCATGATGTTATGTTGAAGACTAGGGCTATGTAGGTGTATGTCCCAGAGTCTCCACTATCGATTCTGCATTGGCCATATGAGATTATTTCAAGTCACTGGTCCTAGCCTAAGGGTTTGTGTCATGGCTGACTTTTGACTTACCTTGGATTTCCATCGTAGAGGATTACTGCTCCACAGTGGTATACTGGACCTTCACTTGCACCTGAATGGCAGCTGGACCCTATGGGTATGTCTACACTGCACGTTTCTTTCAAAAAAAGCTATTCTGGAAGAGATCTTCCAGAAAAGCTTATTTTGAAATAGAGCATCCACATTACAGGCAAGCTTCCAAATTAGTCCAAGGCAGGCTCCCCTAATGTGGGCGTGCTATCTTGATTTAGAGCCCCGGGAGGTACTGGGGAGGAATATGGCCCTGTTGAAGAGCTATTTTCACATAACAGCAGTGCAGCATGCATACGCACCCTCTTCCGAAAGAGCTTTTTCAGAAGAGGCATTATTCCTTGTGGAATGAGGTTTACCAACACTGGAAAAAGCCTTCCATTATTTTGATTTTCTTTTGAAATAACACAACTGCTGTGTGGATACTAGCATTGTTTTTCTGGCATAACGGCCGTTATTCTGGAATAATGGTGCAGTGTAGACACACCCTATAGGGGGAACGGATCAGCAAAGGCAGGATGTTTGCTGCATTGCCTACAACCTTTAGAACTGATCCTGGCTGGGGAATAGTTTGACACTCTCTATCCCCAAATTTTATGAGTGTAGGAACTGCCTATGAACTGGATCAATTTGGAGGAATGAAAATTACAAGGCTAATAGGCTCATCTACCCCTCTGCATTCTGGAGGGCAGATACAGGCTGTTCCCCCCCAGTCACCACTGCCCAGAAAGCCATTCTTCCTGGTAGAGACAAAGTGGTGTATGACGGGTTGATAGCACCGTCTTTCTGAATGGGAACACCATCAGAGCTTGGCTGCTCAATGTGATGCCTCCCCTGGAGATCTGTCTCCAGTGCATGTAACCTGTGCTTCTGCATTGTGGACTGGAAACAAAACCCCAGATCCAGGCACTTCCAAGCTATTTGGAGCTCAAGCCTGGATCCAGATGTGTCTCATGGTAACCACTGAGAGAATCTGCAGTGGGATCCCAAGGTCTAGATGGCTGAGGCTTTGTGGAAAAGGCGCTGTCCTTTGGCCGCTCCCCTTACAAATAGCATCAGCTCTGTGTGTGCGTTAGATTTGCCAGTCCTCAACTTGGCTTCTAAAACAGGGATGGACAATAATTTTTAATTGGGGGCCATTTCAAGATTTTCACAAGTGGTCAAGAGCAGCACTTCTGTGGAGCAGGTGTGAGGTCTGGGTCAGAGATTGGGTGCAGAAGGGATCTTGGGGTAGGGGACTAGGGTGCAGGAGAGGACATGGAATCTGAGGGAGTTTGGGTGAATAAAGGAGGTGTGATCTGGGGCAGGGATTTGGGGGGCAGGATCCAAGAGGAGATAAGGGTGCAGGAGAGAATTCAAGCCTGGGGAAGGTGCTCTAGCCGGGGGGTACAGTTGTGACCAGGAAGAAGAGGGTGCAGAGGATTTGTGTGGTGTCCAGGGGCAGGGGAATGGGATGCAGGATTAGGGAGGGGGTATGGGTACCAGAGATGATTCTGGCCTGGGGGAGAGATGTAGGAGGGCGGTGCAGGGTCTGGGGAAAGAGCTGTGACCTGGAAGAAGGGGGAAAGAGGTAAAGAGGTTTTGGGTGGTGTCCTGGGTCAGGTAGTTGGGTGATCAAGGGGGTGGGAGCCAGAGACAGGCTCTGGCTGGAAGGTACTTACCTAGGTGGCTCCCAGACTGTAGCCTTGCAGGAAACTGAGGCAGGCTCCCTGCTGAAGTCTCAATCTGCTGGCTGTTCCACACACAAGGGTTGGGGGAGGGCTACACACACTGTTCCTGGCCTCAGCAAAAATTCTCAGCTCCTATCAGCCAGAAACTTGCCAAAGGGAGCTGAGGGGTTTTGCTGAGGGCCGGGAGTATCGTGCAAAGTCTCCCTCCTCCCTCCCCTGTAATCCAGAGTGGAGAGCAGCCAGCTGTTTAATGAGTGAGTTGTTCGCTGCATAAGAGTTCCAGCGAGGCAGCCTCTGGCCTACCCCTGTTCTAAAGAGAAGGGTGGTATGTCACAAGATGCAAGCAGAATGGAGTTGGACTGCTTCAGGGCAGCTCTGGTTCTCCTTACCTCCTTGTACTCCAAGGCCCTGTCTGAACATATGGAAGAAATAAAGGTGTTCCCTCTTCTGACTTCTTTCAGGTCATCTTCATTCTGCGCAAGAAGCCTGAGCAGGTGACTTTCCTGCATGTGTATCATCATGGCACCATGCTCTTCAACTGGTGGGCTGGTGTCAAATATGTGCCTGGAGGACAGGGTAAGTTTCATGCCACTGGGCCTACTGTGTCTCTCTCTTTCTTGCTCTGGAGATAATTTGAACCCTACATCTTGACTGGCCAGTGGACAAAAAGCTCACTGCACATTACCCACTTTGGTAATGAGAGGCAAGAGTATCACGACTGACACCTGTTAGATGCTTTATTGCACTGTCCTGTCCACCTCTAGACTGTTCTAGTCACTGCCTCATACAGGGCAAAACAGCCTCATTTCCTGCCCAGACAGAAATGAGAAAACTAAGGGTACGTCTAGACTACAGGCTTATGTCGACAAAGAGTGTCTAGACTACATCCAGTTCTGTCGACAAAGAAAGCTGCTTTGTCAACAAAACCCTGTAGTCTAGACACAACCCTAGATGCAATAACACCTTCTGTCGACAGAACTCTGTCAACAAAAGGCATTATTCCTCGTAAAATGAGGTTTACCAGCGTTGACAAAACTGCTGAGTTCTGTTGACGTTATGTCGACAGAACTCAGCGGTAGTGTAGACACAGGTTTAGTTTTGTCGACAAAAGTCCACTTTTGTCGACAAAACCCTGTAGTCTAGACACACCATAGGTTTAAAACCCAAGTTTGCACCTATTTGTTTTCCTTCCCAGCGCAGGACTGCCCTCATTCTCTGTTCAGCTAGGGCTTGTCCCACATACAGCTGTGCCCAGACCTGGATTGTTCCACTCACTCTCCAGCTCATACCCAGACTATTCCCCACTCTTGTCTAGCCTGACTGCCCCTCTCACTAACTCACCCTAAAGCACAATGCTGGAGATACAGAGCCACGCTTTGTATAGGAATTAATAGTGCTTTTGTATGGAAAGCAGTTTTGTAAAGAGCTTTAATTATCTGACTGGTCTCCAGTACTGAATCCAGCATTCCTCCTTCGGTCTGTGCCTGCTAGAAACCAGTTATGGCTGAGGAAGAGGGAACAGGGTGGCATAAGGCTGTACTTTGAGGGAGAGAGATGATCTAGGATGGAGGGTCATGTTTCTAGGGCATTCTTGGTGAAGTTTAGTAACTGAAGGGTGTCCCATATATATGGGTCACCGGGGGACAACATTTTGAACAGGTCACTTAGGGGTTGGTGTCTATCTGCACAAGACACCACTTGTGTGCCTCACTTGTCGTCCTTTCCTGAATTCTCTATCCTACAGCCTTCTTCATTGGGATGTTGAACTCCTTTGTGCACATCTTCATGTACCTGTATTATGGGCTGGCCAGCCTGGGACCACAAATGCAGCGCTACTTGTGGTGGAAACGCTATCTGACCCTCCTGCAGCTGGTAATCCATTCCAAACATCCACCTCCTCCCTCTCCGGCCTTGGAACAGGGTGGCATTAATTTTCTGTCTCATCCCTCGTTTAACCTATTGCAATGGCTGCCTCCCTGGATACCCTGCTGCAATGGATCAGGGAGAAGTCTGGGTTGAGTACTCTGGGGGAAGGTAATTTCTCATCAGGAAAATTTGACAACTTTCACCAATGAAGTGCTAACCAAGTGGCTTCGTTTTTTTGTATTGAAGTGTTGAGTGAGCACTGGAGTTTGTGGTAGCTATGCTTGTCCAGTAACTCTCAGAATCTGACTTTTTTATTTTTATTTTTTTCCTCGGTTTAGATTTAGGTTGTATGCACTCATGTGGTTGTTGTTGTTTTTAAAGCAAACCAAAACAAGTTCCTTCTAAATTGTTTTCTCTTGGCTTTCTCCTTTTCTCATCTCTGAGGATAGTACAAATCCTGACATTTCAACCATGTGTTTCTCAGGTTGCTGAAGGCCACAACATAAATAGAAATAGTCCAGAGAAAGGCAATGATTAGAGCCATGTGCCAGGCGAGGAAGGGAGGGAGACAGGGAGTTAATTCCGTACAAAAAGAGATTATGATGTCTAGGATTATTTAGTTACTAGAGAAGAATTAGAGGAGATACCATAAAGTTAAAATAATAAAGGGTGTAAAGAAGCCTGATTTGGAGCTCTTATTTACCCTGTGCTATAATACAAAGACAAAGAAGGCATTGTATGAATGAAAAATTTAAAAAATGCAAATCAAGAGCAAAAGAAATACGTGTTTACACAACGTACTGTCAATATATAGGACGGCACACTGCAAGATATTAAAGCAAATGGCTTAGTAAGATAAAAATGAATTGATGCTTATATGAATAAGAGTAATAGCTGCAGTTACATCCATTAAGCTACAATTCAAAGGGCTTGCAATAGCAGTGGTTAAAGGTGTAATTGTAACACCACCTGGGGAACCAAAGGATTCTCCTTACCCTATAGACATCTATCCCAAAACATCAGGTACTGGACTGTAAGGGTACATCTAAACTACATGCCTCCGTCGATGGAGGCATGTAGATTAGACAGATCGGCAGAGGGAAATGAAGCCGTGATTAAAATAATCGCGGCTTCATTTAAATTTAAATGGCTGCCCCGCTCTGCCGATCAGCTGTTTGTCAGCTGTATGCCTCGTGAAACCAGGTTTACCTGTGCCGATCAAGAAAGGCTTCTTTATCGACGCAGCGCGTCCAGACTGCCCCGATCTGCCAACAAACAGCTGATCGGCAGAGCGGGGCAGCCATTTAAATTTAAATGAAGCCGCGATTATTTTAATCACGGCTTCATTTCCCTCTGCCGATCTGTCTAATCTACATGCCTCCAGAAGGGTCACAAAAGGAGACTGAGTGATCTGCTCTTGTATGGCATGGGGCAATATACTCAATTGTATGAACTAATTTCCTGCTCCTCCATGGCAACGGGGAGGCTCTAGAACTACCTGGACCCAGGATATCCTTCAGTATGATAGGAAGCTGAATATTGGGCTTGGTGAATAAATGATCTCCTCCACAATGGTGGGAGATGGGCTAGGCTGCTGCAGGCTAAAAGAATGATGTTCAGAACTAAGTGTGATGTAGCTAGAAGAGAAAGGCTGGACTGGATGGACCAATAGTCACTTGTAGTTTGACTGTTTTGTTATGCAGCCTTGCTAACCCTGCCTCTGTGGTTTTTTTCTCCCCGACAGTGCCAGTTTGTGGCCATCGCTGTTCACTCCGCCTATAACCTCTTCACAGAGTGCCCATTCCCAGATGGCTTCAACTTGGCAGTCTTCCTCTACATCCTCAGCCTCATTGTTCTCTTCCTAAACTTCTACTACTGGACCTACCTCGGGGGAAAGCAGGAGAAACTAACCTGAGGGGGGGCACAGTTTGAGGCCATGGCTGGAATTCACATACACTCACTGCCTTTACTGTGATTTCATGCGGAAGATGCATTTGGAGAGACGGAGAGAGGAACATACAAGCCAATTCTTGGTTGCCTTATCGTTATCAGTTGGGAAGGGAAATGAGACTAGCGGGCTCAGAAGATGAATACTGAGGTGTTTGTATATTGAATATTGGTGCAAATGTAAGCAAACTTAATAGAAAATGACCGTTATCAACATTTGGTGACCTGTGTGAAATTGCTTTTCTCGGGTCCAAGACTAGTGGATACGTGTGCAAAGCATATCTGGCTCATTTGTAACCTGTAAAGGAAGAACCATTGGGAGTGGAGAATGTATTAGCTTGTCTTCTCTCCTTATCAGGGAGCGCATAGTCTATTTCCCTTTTCTATTCTTCCCCACCAGGAGCACACTAGCAGAGAGTGGACTTCATCCTGCTCTCTCGTTCACACGGGTGTAACCCCACAGACTTCAGTTTACATCAGGGTAAGTACAAGGAGAATCAGGTACTAACTATGGGAAACTTGCTCTTCTGCTGCACCTGCTTAGTGACTCAGCCTACGGCACCACCCTGCATAATTGTCAATCCAGAACTAATAGTCACCCTAAGTAAGAAATTAACACGATGAGTGGAACCTATTAACATACCAGTTTGTGCCATGCATTTCTCTTTTGATTTCTGTGACACTAAAATACTTTTTAGCAGTGCAACCCACTTGGCATTGCTCCTGTCAGTTCTTTCCTCATGTATATGTTTTTAACTGGTGATAATTACTGTTACTTATTTTTCCACTCAGAAGTGGAAGACATTTTGACTAATACTGATAACCATAATGAGGAGTTCTGTGGCATCTTAAAGACTAACAGATTTATTTGGGCATAAGCTTTTGTGGTTAAAAACCACTTTATCAGGTGCATTTGAGTGGAAATTAGAAAGGCAAGGATATATATATATATATTACTATATCAAAAGAAGGGAGTTACTTATCAAGTGTAGAACCAGTGTTAATTAGGCCAATTCAGCCAGGGTGGATTTGCCTTACTCCCAACAGCTGATGGGGAGGTGTGAATACCAAGAAAAGGGTATTTGTAGTGAGATAACCAGTCTAAATCCGTATTCAGTCCTAATTTGATTGTATTCAGTTTGCAGATGAACTGCAGCTCTGCTGTGTCTCTTGGTTTTGAAGGTTTTTTTGTAGAAGGATGACTACTTTTAAATCCATTACTGAGTGTCTAGGCAGTGTTCTACTACTGTTTGTATGTTACCTTTCTTGATGTCTGATTTGTGTCCATTTATTCTTTGTTGTAGTGACTGTCTAGTATGGCCAATATCCATGGCAGAGGGGCATTGCTGGGACTCGATGACATAGATCACATTAGTGGATGTGCAGGTGGATGAGGCCCTGATGCGGTGGCTTATGTGGTTAGGTCCTGTGATGGTGTCATTTGTATAGATGTGTGGACAGAGTTGGCAATGGGATTTGTTGCAGGGATAGGTTCCTTGGTTAGTGTCTATATACTGTGGTGTGGGGCTGCTGGTGAATATTTGCTTTGGGTTGGGGGGCTGTCTGCAGGCAAGGCCTGGTCTGTCTCCCAAGGTCTGTGAGAGTGAGGGATCATTTTTCAGGACAGGTTGAAGATTGTCAATGATGCACTGGAAGGGTTTAAGCTGGGGGCTGTAGGTGATGATCACTGGTGTTCCGTTATTTTCTTTGTTGGGCCTGTCCTGTAGTAGGTGATTTCTGGGTACTTGTCCGCCTCTGTCAATTCACTTCTCCAGGTGGGAATTTTAGATTTACGAATGCCTGATAACGATCTTGTAGCTGTTTATCTCTGTCTGAGGAATTAGAACTGATACAGTTGTATCTTAGGGCTTGGCTTCAGACAATGGATCGTATGATGTATCCTGGGTGGAAGCTAGCAGCATGTAGGTAAGAATAGAGATCCATAGATTTCTGGTATAGGGTGGTGTTTATGTGATCATCATTTATTTGTACTATAGTGTCCACAAAGTGGATCTCTTGTATAGACTGGTCCAGGCTGAGATTGATGATAGGGTGGAAATGGTTGAAATCCTGGTGGAATTTTTCATAGGCCTCCTTCCTGTGAGTCCAGATGATGAAGTTGTCATCAATGTAGTGCAAGCAGAGGAGGCCTGCTAGAGGACAGGAACTGAGGAAATGTTGTTCTGGGACAGTGTTTCTCAAGATGGGTCATAGGCCCACTTGGATACACTACTGGCGGGCCTCGCTGCTTTGTTTATCTAAAATGTCCGTAACCACGGAGCCTCATAGCTCCCATCATCTGTGGTTCACCATTTCCAGATAAGGGAAGCTGTGGGAAGTGATATGGCCCCCACAGCCCACTTTGAAAAACAGTCCTAGGTTGGCCATAAAAATGTTGGCATATTGTGGGGCCAAGAGGGTGCCCATAGCTGTGCCATTGACTTGAAGGTATAAATTGTTGCAAAATTGGAAATAGTTGTGGTTGAGGACAAAGTCACAAAGCCCAGTCGCCAGGTGCACTGCTGTGTGATTGGGGATAGTATTCTTGACAGCTAATAGTTCATCCTCATGTGGAATATTGGTGTAAAGAGCTTTTATATTCATGGTGGCCAGGATGGGGAAGATCACTGAGGGTATGTCTACACTACCACCCTAGTTCGAACTAGGGTGGTAATGTAGGCAACCGGAGTTGCAAATGAAGCCCGGGATTTGAATTTCCCGGGCTTCATTTGCATCTTGCTGGACGGCACCATTTTTAAGGAGTAACGGTAGTTTTGAGGAGTAATGGTAGTTCGGAATAGAAAGCCTAGTCCGAACTACCTAGTCCGTGCTGCGTGTAGCCGCGCGGCACGGAGTCCTCACTAGCAGACCTTTAAAAATGGCGCCGCCCGGCAAGATGCAAATGAAGCCCGGGAAATTCAAATCCCAGGCTTCATTTGCAACTCTGGTTGCCTACATTTCCACCCTAGTTCGAACTAGGGTGGTAGTGTAGACATACCCTGATGCACTCTAGTTTCCTCTGGAAGTTAGTGGTGTCTCAAAGATAGCTAGGATTGCTGGTTGCATAGAGTCTGAGGAGATAGTCCACATTGCTGGAAAACCTTTCTGTGAGAGTGCCAATGCTTGAGGTGATGGTATATACAGGATTTCCAGGTTTATTGATATTGGGTAGCAGAATACTCCTGGTTGGGGCTCTAAAGGTGTGTCTGTGTAAATTTGGTCACATGCTATTGCAAGGAGATTCTTGAGCAGATGGTGTAGGGTTTTGGGTTTTTGTTTGTTTGTTTGTTTGTATTCCTCAGTAGGATCTGAGATAGCGGCCTGTGGAGTGTGGTGTTGAGTTGCCTGGCAGCCTCCTATGAGTAATCTGACCTATTCATAATGACAACAGTGCCTTTTTTGTCAGCCTCTTTGATTATAATGTCAGAGTTGTTTTTGAGGCTGTAGATAGCAATCGGTAACCACGTACTATAAAATCCCATATAACTCTGGATCCAAAATGTAAATTAGCACAGATCCATGTGCCATGTTGGTGGTGTGCCATGTGTTCTAAAAAGCCTGCATGACTCTTCAGTGCTCCTAAGTCATTTCAAAAGATATTTAAACACTTAAGGTGTCTAGTGGGATTTTCAAAGCATCTAGGTGCTTAACTGAAAGTCGTTTAAATGGAAGTTAGACACTTCTGGAAATCCCACATCGAACTCATAAACCACCCACCTGTATTCAGTGCACTCTAATTTTCTTGTTAAAAACTTGTATTGAGTGTTTTTGCCCAGGGTTAATTCTTCATTGCTGACTCTTAGATCTCTCAAATGTGAATTTTCTAATCAGCTTGGTGACATACCCGTATCAATGCTGGACCAAATACATCCCTGATGTAACTAGGTGCTATGGCCAGATCATAGTAGTAGTAATAATAATGAATAACATGCAGGTACTACTCAGATGGAAAAGTCTAGGATAGATGTATTGGTAATGTAAATGGTGGAGCAAGTAACACATAGGCTGTGTCTAGACTGCATCCCTTTTCCGTAAAAGGGATGCAAATTAGACACATCGCAATTGCAAATGAAGTGGGGATTTAAATCCCCCCGCTTCATTTGCATAAACATGGCTGCCGCTTTTTTCCGGCTCAGAGCTTTGCCGGAAAAAAGCACCGGTCTAGACGCGAATCTTTCGGAAAATAAAGCCTTTTCTGAAAGATCCCATATTACTTGGGATCTTTCAGAAAAGGCTTTATTTTCCGAAAGATTCGCGTCTAGACCGGTGCTTTTTTCCGGCAAAGCTCTGAGCCGGAAAAAAGCGGCAGCCATGTTTATGCAAATGAAGCGGGGGGATTTAAATCCCCACTTCATTTGCAATTGCGATGTGTCTAATTTGCATCCCTTTTACGGAAAAGGGATGCAGTCTAGACACAGCCAAAGGGTATAAATGGGGCTAGAAAAAGGCATAAACTACAAAGCAGTGCAATGTGCACCGATTTAATAAGTAGTGACTGCACAAAACTAATGTAATCTACACAGCGACGGGTGGGGGCAGGAGGAAGAGAGAATAACAGTTAGTGAGAAGGTGAAAGAGAAAGCAATTTTCCTCAGAAAGGGTTTATTTGTGAATAGAGGGGCAGAATCTGTTCTACAGGCTTATAGCTGGATATCTGTGTGGTTTGGGGTAAAAAATCCACACCCCCTGAGTGATCTACTTATACCAACCTATCCCCTCTGTAGGCAGCACTGTGCTGACAGAAGAGCTTCTCCCATTAACATAGTTATCACCTTTTAGGGGGCTGGGTTAACTATGCCAATGGGAGAAGCTTTCCTGTCTATCGAGATACAGCTGCATAGCTGTAGCTCTATATATGAAGACAAGCTTGGATTTTTTTTTCACAAGCATAATTCCATTAATTTGAGTATTTATGAAGACATCTAAGCCTGAACAGTTTATCTGACACCCACCTTTTTAGCTACTTTTCTTATCAAATGCCTTTGCACATATTTGATGTGTAAGTTGCACTAATTTGCATAGCCGCCCACTGAACACCAAGTTGGTGAAAACTACACAGCCTTACAGTTCCTGTCCACTTAATGACTCACTTCTGCCTATGCCACTGCTTAAGTCATCAATAAATTTGTCTCACTCTTTCTGATATATAGCATAGAGGAATCTCTGCCTGCAGCTGAATTATTTGTGTTGTAAACAAATTATCTAATGAATTTGGCCCATTTTCCTCTGTATGTGAACCAGTCATGAACAACTTGGCCTCTCTCACACCACTTTTGCCATTCAAGTTCACTGACTTCAATGGAGTTACTCCTAATTCACTAGAGGAGAATCAGGACTTTGCTGTTTTACTAATTTATTCTCTATTCAGAATCACTCAGACTAGAGTTTGGATAGAAAGTGAAATCAACATTCACATTTAAAATTCTAAAAATTTCAAACAACTTTTTAGGCACTTTGTGCA